TTGTTGTCGATTTTATATTCCGCAAGTGTACGGATTGTAACAAATAATATAGTGGACAAATGAGTCCGAATGTTCGTTCCCGTGATAATTATAATTTAATACTTAATTTACTATTTCTAACTCCTATTGGACGAAAAACAAATAATACATTTGTGATTAGTTATCTAAATTAATTTTATTAAACTAAATTAATGTAACACGCACTGAATTAAATTTGGGTTTTTAAAATATGAATATGGATGTTAGGAATTACAATTTCACTTATGAATTCCCTTTAATTCGCTAATCAAGATTCATTACTAATGTAGTGTTTGATTGAATTCTTCTAAAGTATTCAATTTACCTCTTTTGAGTTCAAATTAATTAAACGCCTTAAAAACTCGAAAAATCCATGTAAAGACCGCATTAATTAGAAAATATATCTCTACACTTTATACTAGTTCTCGAATTTTACTGCATGGTCTAAACCTAAAACTCACCTCTCGACTTTAATAGATTTAAAAAATCATCAAATTATCGGCTAAGAAATTCAAAGTATTTATAATTCATAAATAAAATCAACACATTAAAATTAAAACTACTAGAATGTTGAAAATTAAATTAAAGGGTCACACATAGATTACATTGTGTGTCTTAACTATGAATTTAGCTGTTCATACTAATGAAAGAAAAACAATAAGTTCTTGTGCATCCCATAGATTACATTAAGTTCTTGTACATCTCATGTCCTCCTTATTTGCATGGTCGATCCTCTACTTCAATGCTTGATCATTTTGGTACCCAATTCCTCAATTTTGTACCGCTTCAATCCAATTTATCCCATTCAAGTTTTACCTATAATTAACCATATTTAACCTAAATTGAGCAGATATCCGCTCAAAATAATAATAAATTAATATGAATAGAAGCCAAGTAAATGCACTTATTAAATACCCTTCAAACTTAAATTATTATTCGTCTCGAACAAAACTATCTACAAAACACGTATTCAAACAAAAATATAAAACATTTAGATAACTTAGCCAAACTTACATCAAGTATTTGAAATTATTTGATAATTAACAAAAGGTTCATAAGTAATACAAATAACGCTAATTCTTACTTATTCAATGCTCGATCGATGTGTGTGCACTAGTCAATTTGATAATCATAAACTTTTAGGTTGGTTATTTCTCTAACCCTTCATAATCAAATATTCTCTCTCTCTCTCTCTCTCTCTCTCTCTCTCTCTCTATGCTCACCCCAAACTTGTTTTTACTCACATTCCGGACATGTTTATTGTAATCAACCCTTTTTCCCTTTTTCGTTCAAGTTTGGTTGAGATTTCACCAATTGTAAGTCAATATCTCAAAAAATAAGGATTTTCGAAATTTTTTATTGCTTCAACCTCTAAAAATCAACCAAGCTAGTAATTGTTAATGCTTAACCAATACATGTAGCACGTCTTCTATTTCATGCACTTGTTTTTTCAAGTTTGTTGTGTGTGGTCTGTTTCATGCACTAACATTATCCCTTGAGTTTTCTCTCCATTAAATTTTCTAAATGACTCTTGTAGCGAGCTTTTGGTTGATGATTTCTAAGTCGGATGACTATAAGGCATCAGATTTTAGATACCCTTATAGGTTTAATCACTTAAGTCATAAATGCTACATATAGACGTTTCGCAAATATGTAGCAGTTTTCACATTTTTTTGTAATGATTAGTACAGTTCTCATTAAATACTCATTCTCAAGATTCGACCCCTAACTAAAATTTTCACCCAATATTCATTCATCTTATTGGCCTTAAGCAATCCACACAAGAAATTACATACATAAAATCCCTAGTCATACCAATATATTCCCACAACAGTGTAATCACCCCAAAACTATTCCTTTCAATTGATTAAATAGTTGTGTTTTTGTTACGGGTTAAAGGACAAAACGGACACGTGGCGTCACATCACGACAGTTGGGACCAGCTTAATTCGATCAGGTTATAATTCTCTAGCTTCAGTTGTGGGTTCCGAGGCCCTCGCTATTACTCCGAGGCCCCTCCCTCTAACGACCGAGGTCCATCAAAGG